TGAGTGTGATTTGGATTTGGTATTGATTTAGACGAAAAATGTACGGTTTAAATATTCGAACTATGTAGCAGAAAACACGCACGCATGCATTTCTACTAGTATAACCACAGATAGCGACTTTTTCTCATGTTTCAATATACATATTGTTTAAACGTTAGATAATCATACCGGTGCATATACCTACAGTTTTTGTACTCACCCTCACTGTCCGAGCGCAGTGTTTCCGTATTCGGGTATTTCTTTCAAAAGAATATAGAAGCATCGAGACTATCTTGGGATCATGAAATGCTACATTTACTACTCACTATGCTTTGAGATCATGGCGTTCTACGCTCATATTGCTATCCTCTCCATCAAAATATACGAAATTGTTGTAAGGAATTTCCTTCCGGGATGCCACCTACAAAAAGCGAAGTGGTTACGAAATGAACACATTGTATATCCAACCTATGAAAAGCGAAGTAGTTACAAAATGAACACATTGTATATCCAACCTATGGAAAGCGAAGTAAATACGAAATGAACACATTGTATATCCAACCTATAGAAAGCGAAGTGAATACGAAATGAACACATTGTATACCCAGAAGCCATTTCAGGCACACGACCGCTCGAATGGCCATCCCAGAGTACAAAACGACAATTTGTGCTACAGACACCATATGCTGACCTAAAAACATTACTAGCGGGAGAACACGAGTTGAAATAGCAATATATCAGCAAAGAAATCGTTCAATACTCTTGTCTATCATGTATCAGTGCTTACCATCTGCCAAACCTCTTGTGACACAGCTGCTTCGACAAACACAGAAACACGATCGCCGTTCCGTGGCGCAATAGAAACACATTAACATAAAGAGATTGTGCGAATGTGCACGAGCGGGGGTTCACACAGTGCGACTAACTAATTTGCCTTGAGAATCTCTTGACCAAGCACTCCTCCCACTATCGCAGCCGCTGGCCCGTATGAGATATTGCCGCACTGGCTTAGGTGGCTGTGTAGATAAGAAGGTGGGTACAAGATATTTAATGTATGTTGAGGACTATATGTAAATTTAAGACTTTGAACTGCTCGAATAGTGATCGAGTGACGGATAGTGACACACACCGTAACAGTATCACCCGAGCATAGCACAATGATTGCTGCGCTAAGTGAACTGTTTAGAGTAGAACGTACAGCTTCTTGGCTATGAATTTGGCTATGAATGTTCGGTTTTATGTACTGCATATAATAACGAATATGTCTTATTACAGGTTCTCGTCAGAACATAACATAGTCAGGCATCTCATCAGCCGAAACGCGAACGAGCGCTCTCGCATGACCCCTCCTCTAATGTACACAGCATCAACCGAAACACGCTATCCATATCAAAGAATATGGTGAGAATATGACCAACGTGTCATGTGTATATAACTGAAATGGCCACGTCCTTATCAAACAGTACGAGTGGATATCACAACGGCAACTCTGCTATACGAAACACACTACAAGCACCGACACAGATCATCTCGCACAATGTATCCGAAAAAGTACACACAAGCGGCAACAATACAGCAGCCTAGTACGAAGTCATGCGGGTATGCAACTTCGTGTACCTTATCTGCGCATCGGTTATAGTTGCAATGTCCAGCTTGTTCTCTTCCACATACGCGTTCCTCAATTTAATCATCTTCTGAACATCCCCTTCTTGCTCATATGTCGGCCACCGTCCATTGGCGCTGTGAAACCGATGTAGTACAAACACTCCGTGGCGTATCCATGACAACACATGTCTTCTAGACTGCTTGTGCGCAATTGAGTCTGTGTGTACTGCTTCCTCCAGTGACGGGTACTTTGTGGTGGCTGTGAGCGTCTTTGTTTCTTGGTCCTGTAGAGATGTGTTGAGCAACACATACAGTTTCAATCAACGAGAGCGGCGCCAGAGAAGTATCGTAGCCACAAAGAATATGAAATTCGTGATATTTGTACGTATAAGAAAGAATGTGGATGGCTTTTGCATTATCTGTAAGCTTTACGCATAGAGTATACATACGTACACGTTCCTATACTGATGTGACAAACTAGTTTTCTAAATACACAATATTTGACACCCTAACAATATAACGTTCCCGTCCTTGATATTATATATATATATATGCTGGACAACTATGAATATTTTATTTGGATTGAGTCGGTGCTCATAGAAACTGATGGGATGATTTCAACTTTAGATAGACTTGCATAGAAACGTTTTTCGATATACAAACGGATGTAACGATGGTCAATCCAAAGATCTATATTTCGACTTGCAAATGGCTTTAAAACTATATATTTGCACGTATATAGTAGACCATACTTATATATATATATATATATATATAATATACATATATATATATATATAATATACATATATATATATATAGATATATATATATATATATATATATATATATATATATATATATATATATATATATAGTATATATATATATATATATATATATATATATATATATGTTTTGTTTCAATATGTATGCGCATGCACATGTACACAGAGTCTACACACGCTGTTCTACACATTACTATACAGACGGAATTCACATTCCGGCACAATTGGTTATAAAGTATGTGGTAATTTTGAATACAATGCGCGGTATTGAATAGCATTGATGCAATGCCGTTGTAACACAAAACGTCTTGTTTTCTTCTCAAATGTCCTGTATGTGGATGCTCTACAATAAAATCTACCGCTAAGCTCCTCAGGCTATTTTAGTAACCAACCGAATAATCAACGTACAATTCAGCAACGGAACAATCTTTAAAACTTACCTTCGTTTGGTCATATATGTATTCAAAATTATCGCCAAGATCTTCAAAGAAGAATCCATAGTAACCGTGCAACCCAGCCCAGAAGAACAACACTCCGGCTTCTCTGGCAATCCGATTGACTCGCATAGCTGTACATTTAACAATATTCACATTAGGAGGTCCGCATCGCATCAAACGATAATCTTGTGGTACATGCCAATGCAATTGTGGGGTTGCTGTATGATGCATATGTTATAGTAGCCTTATTAAAAAAAGCATATAGTATATGTCTAAGGATGCTATGTGATGGATATTTATAGTAGCCTTATTAAAAAAATCATAAGAGTATATGTTTAAAGCTATGTGATGCATATTTTTAGTAGCCTTATTATAAAAACCAGATAGTATATGTTTAAGGTTGCTGCGTGTTGTATATTTATAGTAGTCTTATTGAAAGAATCATATAGTATATGTTTAACCAAGGGTAACATTCGTATAGCAAAGCAATAACAAATGCTGCAAAGTTACTGCACGTATATTTTAAAAGCCAAATTACACCTAATCACAACACGAGCCTGAAGGAACTCGAACTGAATACTCGGCAAGTGTCAAGTGGCGTGTATTGTGTAGGTGAGAAAGATACAGAATATGTAACAATTCCTCCGAGACAAAATAATATACAATGCTGCATGAATACCACGCATGAGGTTTTCAAAAGAAGATATGCGACCAGTGGCAGGCGAAAAGCACATGCGATAGATTTTGACCTGACCAGAGATACACACAGGTCCTTCTGAATGTACTCCACATTAAAATTGGTGGTAGATAGCTTACGTTGAGCATATACACCACAAGACAGGACAGGACGCGGGTGCCTGTGCGCAAAACATTCCACACTTTGACAATTTATACACCTGATATCTTACTCCACACAATACCTGTGGCTAATTCAGTGTCTGTGAGGCATATAATATTGAACTGTTTGAAATAGTCGTCTGATTTGCTGTCAATGATATCTGTATCGACGTGCAGCTTCACGCGCGGGTTGAGATCCTGTTAAACGGAACCAACATCCGAAGGATGAGACCCACATTTCCCAATCGAACGAACCCACACGACACTTTCCCAGTCAAAAGAATTGTTATAGAAAGATATAAATAACCGGAGACACACCTCGCTATTTAGGGGCCTATACATGGTTACATTTCGTCATTTAGGGGTCTATACATGTTTACATATCGCCATCTTTTTTTTGTTATCAAATGGCGGTCTGAGGACGCATGCAGAGGAACTCACAAGCTCAAATACACATAGAGTCCACGATAACAGCCAAGCAATCATTAACAGGGCATGCGGACGAGCTGTTGCAGGGTGGCAATTAGGTGAACGAATCCCGTGATAATACTTGCAAGAATGGCATACATGATTACAGTAGCTGCACTAGAATACGTACGTTTCGTGAACAAATGAATGAAAATCTCCATACAAAGACTAGAACAAATCAATTCGCATAAAGGTGTTGGAACCATTCCTGTTCAAAGCCAGCATTGAATGCAATCGAAAGCGATGATGGGTAGGGCAAGCGCAAGAAGTGTATATTAACTACTCACCATGACTGATGTAAGTCTGTGAAAACGTTGCTGATGGCAATACCAGTCTCCGCTTGACCACAACCCTTGGGGTGGCAAAAACACGTTAACTACATGTATATTTGAATATACATTGCTTGTGTTGTGCAATTTATCTGACAATCATCAATCAGACGTTTCAAATACATTCATATATTATTGCTTACCTGGAGGCGACCAAGCGCGGCCTGTACCCGGTTTAACCCTACAGCGGTCGCTTTATCACTGAGGAACGTGCCGGTGAGGTCGGCGGGTTCTACTGTGTGGTGGTCTAAGATTGTAACACTACCAACTCCTGCAAGAACTATCGTTTTCAGTACTTCGTTGGCCAGAGCCTTCACACCATCTACTAGGATGTGGGCAGATGACATCCTAGTAACAATAGTGGTATAGGGTTTTTAGGTTACAGAATACAGTCATTTTGTGATAAACAAATTAAAAGCTAAGGAAATTCAAAGCAAACTCAAGTGTGTGTTAGTATGATATATATATATATATATATATATATATATGTAAATATATATGTATATATATATATATATATATATATATATATATATATATGTATATAATTTATTATATACATATTTAATTATATAGATATATATAGATATATATAAATATATGTATATATATATATACATAAGTATGCGTGTAGGTTTGTGAATATATA